TGATGGGGATGAAGGACAGCAGCTCTCCAGACCACATTCTCCCAATCTGGTCACCCCAAGTCAGTCTCCTAGAAGAGCCTGTTCGGCCAACCTCAGGGTTCCTCAAACCATTGTCTTGGTCAAGGACATACACATGCAGGTGGACAGCCAGCATCATATACTCCTTGTCATTGCCACCCACACCCCATTCCACAGCATACCATATAGTGGTGGAGGACTCTCCCCAAGGTAGCGGGCGCGAGGGACACTCTTATTAGAAGCAGCTGTTGCTGTCACACTTCTACTGCTGACGGTTTCCAAAGAAGGGTGATGTAAATAGTCAGGACAAGATGTGTTAGTGTAGATATAGTGATTCATCAAAAAATGTGTATTTTATTTCCCTTTTTGCCTTTATCTTTTCACAGCAAAGGACAAAACCATGAAAATGGATTTTTGAAATTAATTAATTTTTGTTGTATTTTTTAATTGGGAAAACATTGGTTTACAAGAGTGTATATGAATTAGGGGTATACGTTCACTCATCTTCGTATGTGTGTGATCACACCACACCAACGAGGCACCCATAATCCTCTACCACAGTCCATAGGGCACCCTCCATACTTTGCTCCCCACCTTCCACCTACCCTATCTGGTAACCTTAGTTCTACAGTCATAGTTTTAGGGTTTATTTTGGTGTAGGTTTGACTGTTCCTGTTTTGTTTCTCTATATTCTGAATGGGTGAATTCAGTATTTGTCTTTCTCCTTCTGACTTACTTCCCCTCCATTTCCATCCATGTTGTCACAAGTGGTAAGCTTTCACCTTTTTTATCGCCGAGTAGTATTCCATTGTGTATCTGCATCCCATCTTAGTTTCTTTTTCTGTCCTAGAACACTTCAGTTGTTTCTTCGCCTTGGCTATTACGAATAGTGCTGCAGTGAACATAGGAGTGCAAAACAAATTTTTTTGAAAAATGACTTCTTTTTCCCATTTCACTTTCAAATATTGCCTTAGCCTCTGTCTTCGGCTCTCCCAATGAACCTTTCAGTTAGATTTGCACTGGCCATTTGTTTAACAGCATCAATCCACTGTGAGAAACCCTTTCATGCAGAGACTGGCGTTCTATTTCTGTTCCAGCTGCACCTACCACAGTGTCTGGTGTCCTCAGTGGTGTGTGGTCTGAAATGAGTGAATGAGGGCTCACACCAGCTCGTGGGAGTCCAGGGCTCTGAGGAGCAGGGTGGCGGGGCTTACACAGCACATTGGGTTGAAGCTGGAATTGGAATCTGTTATCTTCCTAACCCCAAATTAGGGTTTTAAAATGTTTATTTTTTTTAGCTTCCTCGCCCAGCTGTCCAGGGGGTCCTGTGTGTTCCAGCAGCATCCAGTGTCTCTGTGTGCTAAGTGACTGGTCCATCAGCCATGGCGTTCAGCGTGACAATCATGACAATGGGGCAGGAAGGCAGTCTCAGAACTTCCAGGATGTGCGGCTGCCCAGCCCTCGGGAGCACGGGACCACCTCTAGTGCCGTCTTCAGGCACGTGCTGTGTGGCAGAAGTCAGGCTGAGTTGAGGTGTAACTTCACGTGCCTCTCTCAGAAACAGAGCAAAGTGTGAGCCTGGGGACAGTGTCCCTGCTCCGGTTCCCTTGTCTTCTGAGAGGCTCCTTTATCCTGTTCATCCCATGGATACTTTTTACCCTGGGGAAAACACCTTTGAACTCTCACTCCAGGTGATTGCTGGCTCCCTGGGCCATTTTGACACCCCAAGCCCCATACTTTGATGTGGTGCAATCAGTTGGGAACAAAGACAGAAACTTCTAGATCAATATGAAGATTTTTCCCAGAAGAGAAGGTAGAAGGAAGGGGTGGGTTGAATCGGGAAAAGAGGGAGGGGTCTGGCTTGTGCTGGTGGACTCAGGGTGGAGTGTGTACGTGTTGGTTCACTTCTCTGTGATGCACACCTGACACTTGTGTACAGTGTCGTGGGACGCCAATAAAACAAGACCTTTTGTACATTTGTAAAATATATAAATTAATACTCACTATGAAGTAGAAGGGCAAGTCTCTATCTCCTTTGAAAAGGACAAATTTCTGTGCTGAGATGTAACTGTCAGGCAGGTTATGTTCAGGAGACATTGTTTGTATTGTGGGGGGCGCCTGGGCAAGTTTGAAATCCTTACTTTGAGGTAGGGTGTGCTGGGCCTCCCAGGCATAGACCAAAGCTGCATCAGTAGATTCTCCTCCTCAGGGAGTCTCAGCTCATCTGCTAAGGTCCTTCAACTGGTTGTGTTAGGTTCACCCAGATAATCTTGAATATTCTCCCTTCAATTCAACTGGTCACGCACTTTAATCATATCTAAAGTCACCTTCCCAGCAACCCAGACTACCGTGTGATGGAGCATGGGGTGTCTAGCCAAGGTGACACTCCAAACTGACCATTGGCTGGATTTCTAGTAGGTTCCATGTGGACTTGGGAGATGAAGACCTAGTGCTGAATCAAATTTAAAAACCTCTGCTGCTTTTACATTACATTTTACATTTACATTGATTTGGAGGGATGTTGTTTTTGATGCTTTCCTTGGGGATGCAGTTCATCACTTACTTCCTTCACACCCCTCATTGTTGCACACACCACCACAGGTGCAGAAGGGTCACCTTGGGTGAGGAGGGTGGTCTATTTCCTGGTTTAGAGATCATTATTTTTATATTCACACCGTGAGTTCTTTCATTTTGTCATCTGGATTGCTTCCATAAATAGTCCTTGGACATCTATGATGTGTCAGGAACTGTTTTAGGCCCCTGGGATACTTCACTGAATAAAAGAGCTCCTGCTTCTGTGGCAGGTCTATGGTGCCATGCAGTAACACGCAGTACAATACGTTTTATAGTGATGATGAATAGTCATGAGTATATCAAAACTGGGGATGGAACCTTGACAGTGATGGGGATGTATGTGCAGAGCTAGCTGCATAGTTTGTGGGTTCCAGTAGGAAATGAAAATTCAGTCTCCTCTAATCAAAATGTAGAAGAAGATTACCATTCAAAGTAGCCAGTCATATAATTTGTTCTTTTTTCTTTATTTGGGCTAGTCAGTGATTTTTTTGCAGTTGTTTTATTTGCTGGTTAGTGCTGTGCTAAGACAAGAAAAATTAAAGATTTGATTACTAGCATGGTTTTACATTCATCCTTATATTTGTAATTCCTCTAATACCACTGTAAGTAGAATCACTGAAATGACAGGGTGTGTATTTATTCGCTAGCTTGGACACTCACCTGAATTTTGTTCTTACCAAAACAATGGAAATGCTAACTCAGTGAGTATTTACAAAACCCACTCACCTGCTTTTAATCTCACGTCTATCTAATATGTGCATGTCCTGCCCATACGCGATCTTTGGTTGAATGGTTAGGAGGGCTAGAAGGAAGAGGGGTTGCCCTTCCTGTCTCTCCGCTTCTGTGTTCATCTCCGTGCAAAGTGGTTGTCTGATATGGGAATGTCTTAGAAATCAAGCTGGAAAAAAAAAAAAAGAAATAATAGGGGAACTACATTTAAAAAAAACAAAAGATGATATGACAGAGCTCCTGGAGCATTCCTGTTTCTTAGGGCACAGCTGACTTCTTTCTGTGTTTGAAGCAGGTTCTCCTTCGGAAGGGCGACCTCTTGGGGCTGACAGCGCACCTGCTGAGTCAGAGAGGTCCCTTACTCGCCTTGTGCTCACTTTGCATCTTGCTAAATCCCAAACTGTCTTGCACCTCCCCCTGCTCACCTTGAGCAACACTGTCCCATTTGACTTATCTTACAAAACGCAAGTTCAAAAGTAAAGTTGCTAAGAATTTCAAGATGGTGATGCCAAGCATGGCGCACACCTGAACAAAGGGACTGTGCACAGGTTACCCGCCCTGGAAGCCAGTGACATGGATGCACCTGTGTGTGTGCGTGTGTGTGCATGTGCACATGTGCTAGTGTAGATGATGTCTCAGGAGTTGATGTAGATCAGGGTCCTCAAGCAGGTGAGGAAGCAAGGAGTGTGGGATTCCCAGGATGGGAGGGGAGGGGCATGTTCAGAGAGTCCCTGCTGCAGGTGCCGTTGGCTTATTCTCAGAATAAATAAGCCACTTATTTTGACTGAATCCAGGTGAGTGGGAGTGAGGAGAGAGGGATGAGATCAGAAAGTAGAGGCCATGGGTCATGTCTGGTTTCACAGACCAAGGAAGGACTTAGGATTTTTCTGAGAAGACCGAGGAGAGTTTTAGAGGGATGGCATGGCATCATTAGCTTTTAGGGGGCTCCCTCTGGCTGCTGTGGCAAGACTTTGTCTTGGGCTAGGATTGGAAGTGGCAGGATCAGTTTGGAAGCTGCTGTGATAGAGCAAATCAAGACAGCGCCGCCTGGGTGGTTTAGATAAGCCATGATTAAATAAGGCTGGTTTCTGAGCACACTTCAAAAACTAGTGCCAGCAGGCATGGCGTATACAATGGATATTTACGTAGGGTCCTGGCCTGAGACAGCAGATAAAATGGTTCAAGAGGCCATGGAAAGTAGTGAATCTCCTAAAATCGTGCAGCCCAGGCCTGGCAGAACTGGGGCAAGGCAGAGAACAGAAGTCTTGGCTCTCTTATTTCCCTTCTCCTTTTTAAAACTTGGGTCTAGACTTCCCCCAGATAGCTCCTCTAGCATTCTCTTCTGCACATTTTACTTTGCTCATTCAGCATGGATTGCATCTCCAGGATTTCCTCTCCTCTTGGAAGGACTTCGAGAGCTTGGTCCTGCCAGAGGGGAGAGAGGTCCTCCCCTGTGCCCATGTTTTCACGGCGTCTGCGCACACTCGGCTGTCTCCTGCAGGTTCCTTTGGGAATGTCCTGACCATGATTTCCTTCCATTTTTACCAACTACCTCTTGGCCACCCAGAAAACAGTTACAATAACAAAGATTTTGCACAGGCTTTGTGCTACAGTACACCACGGGTCATGTCTAGTATTGAACTGGGTTATTGAATTGGCTTATTTTTTCTGCTTTTCAGCACTTTCAGACCATGCTGAAGTCCAAGCTGAATGTCCTCACACTGAAGAAGGAGCCTCTCCCAGCTGTCATCTTCCACGAGCCCGAGGCCATCGAGCTGTGCACCACCACGCCCCTGATGAAGACCAGGGCTCACAGCGGCTGCAAGGTAGGGCCTGGGCATAGCAGGTGCACCGTACCAGGGACAGACGGAGGAAGTGGAGTCTTAAGGCACAGTTTTCACCATGGTGCCTTTCTTAAAGCTGTGAAATGACTCCAAATTAGCTCACCAAGGGATAGTAGTATGGATTTCCTCCCTGATTTTCCTTGATGTACCAGCATTGACGGCACTTTCAGTACCCAGTAAAGGCATACGATTTAGTCTAGCTTGTAAAATCGTATTCTCGCCATATTTTCTATAGCTCTGGGGAACTTTGGGCTTCATAACTAAAGTTCTATCCTTAATGATAATTCCTCCCTTTGTATTTGCAAACTGGATAAAACTTAAGTAAGTAACTGAACAAAAGCAAGATTTCCAACAGTGGCACACTCAGCGTCCTATGGGGTAACTTCACAGTTTTGTTTTGCTTCAACTCTCAAGATTTATACTAATATTCATGTCTCAGAATCCATTAAAAAGACATTTTTCATTTGTGGGATCCATAATGCCGACTTGGAAACAAAACGACAAGGAAATGTGTAATTTTAGCAAGTGTTTGGATTCTTGTGATATTCCAAGAGTTGATGAGTGTAGTAATTGGTTTAGAAGTAACGAGGAAAATGTTTTATGCATATTTTATCATCAGAAGTTTGTTTTGAGTAGTGAAAATGAAGGAAGAGCAAAAAATTGCACGTTGGCCTGTGGATCTTTTATAACCGGTGGACACACACTCTCCTTACGGCTTCCAGGTGAGGGAAGCAAAGGCCCGTTGGCCTGCTGGCCCATGTCTGGCCCCTCCCCAGCTCTTGCATAGATTGTAGCCTATAGCACCCCTGCGTGACAGGGTGTGCACGCACCTCACACACGCCCATTCATTCCGCAGACGCCCAAGGGGTTCTGGGACACTGGGGGGCCCAGTGTGAGCAAGACCCACCAGTGTCTTTATGGAGATTAGCTGCTCCTTGGAGGAGAGAGTGAAAACAAGCAGTGGCTGCTGAGAAAGCCAGTCTGTGGAGAACTTGTGTAAGAAGAGGGGGTGCTAGTGCTCTGAGGTGGAAAGGTTGTGGGGGGCTTTAGGATGTCATGTGATGGGCCAGGGTACCCAGGGAGTTGAGAAGATGGTAGCGGTGGGATCTGGCAGGGGCCTGGGTGTAGAGAGCCTCTTCTTCCAGGCCAGGAGTTTAGCTTTCTGCCCTCTAACTGTGGGAACCGTTGGAGGGCTCTTGGCCAGCAAGTTTAGGCCTCCTTTTTACAACCCTCTTTTCAATGGCCACTCTCTGAAGGTGACTTCTGGCTTCCACAGTGAAGTTGCTAGTGGCTCAGCTTCATCTGAAGAGAGAGAGGATCCACCAACCGGGCATGGGATCCCCTTGTATGTGATGCTGCTGGTGAATTGATGATATAAAATAATTACAAAATCCTTAAATTAAAAAGTCATGGGAGATGAAAGGATGTGATGCACACCCTAGACACTTCCTAAAGTCATTTTGAATCTGTTCGTGTTGGACAAAATGCTCTCTCAGAAGCAAGATGAAATTTGTAGGGACAAGTTTAAGGAGAAGAGTTTAGTTTGATAACGTCTAGAGTATGTTTAAATGGGAAGGAAAGAAAATGCAGTTACAGACAATTACAGAATAAAAGGACACAGCAATTCTACATAGATGGATAGACGAATGGACGTATGGGGGGTGAAGAAAAAGACAGAGGAGAGAGGAGAGAATGCTAGGAGAACAAGGACCACCATTTTTCATTTCTTTAAAAAATATTTATTTATGCATACAAGAATTGGGGTCTAGGCCGGAGGTGCAGGGGGTGAGAGGATTCACCAGAGACAGAGTGGGGAGCAGAACAGGCAGACTGACTGAAACACACTGCTGAGGGGAGCAGCGGGTGAAACAGGCGAGGTCTGCTGCACCATGTGGGTAGCTCCCTGCCTGGGGATCGAACTTGGGCTGCAGTGACTGGCGATAACTTGATGGCTTGATACTTTAACCCCTGCACTACCAGGGAGGCCCCATGTCCATCATTTTTCTGAAAAGGAGTGTAGGCTTCGAGATTCACACAGTAATTTTTTTTTTCCATGCATGGTCTTAGGTCGGGTTCATTGATTTTACTTCTAAAAAGACGTTGAACTGAGTGGAAGGCATTCAGACAGGGATAGGAAGTGTGAGGGCTGCCCTGGTGTTGGACCAGCTAGAAGAAGGAAAGTCAGTGGCCCTTTCTGCTGGACACAAGGAAGAATTCCTGCATTCAAGGGGCAAAACACATTCCACCGGGCTGTAAACATTTTATGAGCCCTGCACCCCAAGGAGTCCTGAGGAGATGTGGTGTAGACAACCACAGTCCTGGACTCAGGGGCCTGGGCCCACCCCTCCTGGAGGGAGGAAAACTGCCAGTTTTTGGTGGTTTTCATCAACAACCTCATGTTGTTGCCTTGAGTACACTTTACACGGTTAAGTTTTAACTGCACAGGTCCTGGAGTGACACTTTCTTTACATTGGTCTTCAGAGCCATGTTTTTCTGTTTAAAAAAAAAAAAAAAAACTAACTAGAAAAAGTCATATTTTTGAGCCTTGAAATTTCTGTTTCCCACACATCTGAAGAGGGGTGAGCCTGTGTACCCCTCAATCACATACAGGGTTGAAAACTAATGTTATTGCAATAAAAACAAACCAATTAAAAAACCAGAAATTTCTGGTTCAGTTCTTCAGACGGTCCCCGCTTTCCCGACAGCCTCGCGAACACAGTGCAGTGTTTCCTCTGCGCCTCTTGAGAGTCACTTTGCTCACAAAATGCCAGCTGCAGAAGGAGCGCTCCCTCTCCCTCGCCCTGTCCCCTCTCCCTGCGCAGGCCAGGACAATGAGCACATGGGGCCTGGCCAGCTGCAGGCCTTGACCCTCCGCCTTCACATAGGACGGTTCCTTTGCCTGACAGCTCTCAACTTGGGCTTGTGTGGCTCTGGCCTGGGAGGGAGAGAGGCAGGAGGAAGCAGAGGAGGGCGGGCGACGGTTAACACCCTCCAGGCCTGGCTCGTCTCCGAGTTCCCTTTCCCGCTGATCTGTATTCCCTGTGGGTCCCGATGGGCTCGCGGGCCAGGCTATTCACGGTGTGGGCAGCTGGGGCTTTGTGTGTCCCCCTCTCTGGCTGCCACGTTTTTGTTCCCTGGAGTGGAGTTATGGGGCCGAACCACTCACGGGGGCCACCAGGATACGGCCACCAGCACCAGGTCGGAGCTGCCCAGGGGTCCTGCTGGGCCTGATTCTGCTTGTCGGCCCTCCTGCTGCCTGGCGCCCCGGCACCCGCGGTGGTGCTGGCTTGTCAGCATGTATTTATGCCATCAGTAGTCACAGAACCTTGTGTGGCGTGCGCTGGGGGAGGACGGACTCTAGGCCTGTTCTGAGGGTCGTGCAGTGCGGGGCCTGGCAGCGCCCACAGTGACCTCTGAGTGCTGGTGAGAGCCAGGGTCTCACCCACTGCGGGGGCTGCTCTCTGGACACGGGCACCCAGCGGAGTGCCGGGGCCCAGAGCCCAGTCACTTACTGGGCAGGGTGCCCGCCCCTTGTCTTGTGTCTGAGCACTGAACCAGGCTGGTGTGTGCTGAGGGCAAACTGAGGGCATGATGGACTCACACTGGGAGGGGGAGATGGTAGGAAGGAGCGTCTGGGCACCGGCGAGCTGGTAGGCCAGACGGGTTTATAGCCGACTGGGAGGCAACGTGTCAGGCAGGACTGGGCTCTGTAGTTTTTGTACCAGACACGTGTCCCCTGCAGACAGTGCCACCTGCTGCCAGGGACCGCCTGACTCGCGCCAGACTCACAGGAGCGTTCTCAGCGCCTTCAGAAAGTGATGGTAACAGTGGTGATGATACTCAACATGGTCATGGAATTCTGGTAAAACGAAAAGAGTGACCAGATATGCATGAAGACATGCACCCCCAACTTTGTGCTTACCATGATGTGGACTCGTTTAGTCCTTGAGGCGGCCTGATGGTTCAGGGGCCCCTGGTCACCCCATTTCTCAAATGGGCTAGTTGAGGCCCAGGGAGGGCCACTGGGCTGTCCCAGGGTGCGGCAGGCAGCGAGGAGCTGGCAGAGCCTGGACTTGAACCTCATCTGTCTGACTCCACAGCCTGTGCTCCTCGCCCGTGACCCCATGCCTTGCGGTGACCCCTGAGTCTTCCCATCTGTCCAAAGAGAGGCTTTAAACCACCTGGCTGGCTGAAAAGTATGTCTGAACAAGTCCTTTCTTTGCCTGTGTCAGACTTCAGTGAGGTCACTTTTCCCCACGATTGATGGTCCGGGAGAGGTATTGATCCCATCGAGGGGTTCTCTGTGGGATCCATGACACCTCGAGAGTGCCTGTTTCCTGGTGTCCCACACACTGTGAGGGCTACGGCTGCAAGTGGCTGCTTTACTCTAAGGAACCAGATATGGCATAAAAACCTGCTAACCTTTCAGCCAGAGTAAGACTTAATCTCCCTGCATCTCCACATTTGTGAAAGCATCACTGCCTGTTTTATGTTACTTCTCCCTTTAAAATTTTTCTCTTGCAAGATCAGTGAAGATTCATTAGTGAAAACTGGGAAAACTACCTAAATATCTAAAAGAGTTATTATTTATGTTTCTGATCTATACTAATACCTTGGAAAACACACAGTCATAAAGATTCTGTTGAAGAAATTATTCTGATATGTAAATAGTTTACAGTGTACTCAGTGAGTTAAAAAGCTGACAGCAGAGCATTATTAGGATCCCGTTTTGTGAAATAAAATAACAATAATGTAATTGTAAGCAAATGTTCATTATTAAAGGCTAGTACTAAAATATGGCAGAGGTGATGCCTGGATAGCAAGGGTATGGGTGAAATTTTGATGTTTTACTCATTTGCAAAGTTTCAACCATGAACAGATATTACTTCTGTAATCAGCTTTTAACAATATTTAAGAAAACGGGTGTCTCTGGATGAGAAGCTGGTTGGAAAGTTCTTTGGAGGAAGCTCCATCCTAAAATG